GGGTTCCCGCCCACGGGAGCAAGATCAGGGTTCCCGCCCACGGGAGCAAGATCAGGGTTCCCGCCCACGGGAGCAAGATCAGGGTTCCCGCCCACAGGAGCAAGAACAGGGCCCCCGCCAAGAGGAGCCAGATCGAGTTCCCCCTCTCAGTCCAATTGATTATGTGTCCATATTGCGGAATGCACAATCCCTGGTGCCCTTCTTGGTCCTTAAGTATAGATTGAGAGAGTCAACAACCAAGGCAGAAATGTTAAATATGATCGTAAGTCACAGGGAGCACTTTTTTGAAATCTTTTCTAGGGCATCTGAGTATATGCAGCTGGTCTTTGGTATTGAGGTGGTTGAAATTGACCCCTCTGACCACTGCTATTTCCTTACTCCTGCAGCAGGGCTAACTTACGATGGGATGTTGCATGATGTTGTAGGCATGCCCAAGACAGGCCTCCTGTTAATCATTCTGGGTATAATTTTCATGGAAAACAACTGTGCCACTGAACGGGCAGTCTGGGATACGCTGAGTGTAATGGGGGTATATCCTGAGATAGAGCATTATATCTATGGACAACCTAGGAAGCTGGTCATTGAAAATTTTGTGCAGGAGCAATACCTGGAGTACCAGAGGGTACCCAACACTGATCCTGTCTGCTATCAGTTTGTATGGGGCCCAAGAGCCCATGCTGAAACCACTAAGATGAGAGTCCTGAAACACTGGGTGAAGTTTAGTGGGAATGATCTCACTGCCTATCCAAACCTCTGTGAGCAGGCTATGGGAGACGAACGAAATGCCCGAGCATGAAGCATAATCAGCTCCATGAGTGGAAGGTTTGAGGTAGTTTGGTTCAACAATCCATAAACATCACAACAGTCATACATTTGTTCTTGTTAATATATTTAGGGGCAATTTTTGTTAATTGTTAACACAGAGAAATCCATTTTAAAACAATTCAATATGGCACTGAATTGTGCACAGAAACACCAAGTAAATTCTTGCATTCCTTTATTGTTATCATCCTTACTCAATTAAATATGTCTGTACCAACTTGATTTATTTGGCTCTGAAAATTTAGATGAATGTAGAGGAAATTATATGGAGATTAATTACGTGTTACCATATTAAAGAAGGCTGTTTTACCTTAGTATTGCTTTTAATTCTTCAAAATGGATTTGAGTATCTTACTTTAACTGGGTTAGATAACCATTAAGATTTCAGTTTTGTTTGCATGTGATAACTAATTAAGGACTTAAGCATTTTCTCACAATGCATTATTGAAATTTCAGAGATCTCTAAACTGCTATAATATAGTAATCAGACTATATTAACCTCTCTCATTGTCTCCCCCCCTCCCACACACACACATCCACCCTTCCCAAGCACCAGAGTGGCATTCACTTCCTTGTGAAACTGGGACCTGTGGCTAGAAAAAGGTGCTTTAGCTTTAGCTAGTGAAGTTTCTCTGTAAATTGGCAAGGTATTGCATCTGGGAGCTCTGAATATTTCACCACAGGATTCCCTACACGCAACCAGTTTATCAATTAGTAGGCTGCCTCTTAGAATTCCAAGGTTGTTAATGTACTGTGGTGTTATCTACATAGTGGTAAAATTATTTACGAGTAGTGCTTCCTCTTTGGAAACAAATTCCACAAAATGAAAAATGTATATATAACCATGTTTATTTACAATTATCCCCTGTCTACTGATCTAATCAGCCTATGGATTAATGTCAGCGTATAGCCAAATTCTGTCATAATAGAAAATACCAGAAGCATTATACATTGCTCTTAATTCCTCTCCTCTCAGTAATTTCTCTTCATTTTAATTCTTTCAGTAAATGTCCCTCTAAAGTACTTTCAGTTTCTAAGCAAATGCATATTTATTGTTGGGTGTATTTGGTGTGCAAATCAATCCCTTACAAAGCTTAGCAGAAATGTCCCTAAATTTAATTTCTCTTGGGAGGAGAGCTGAGTGGAGAACTTGAGAATATATTTATATTTGCAATTTCAATTTACCTTTGCTCTTGGAACTTAGCTGTTTAATGCCTCTTATTTATAAAGGATCTCAGGAACTACACAGTAAATGAGTTTAATGTGTGGCTGAACTTGTCAGACTAAAGAGAAAACATTTCATAGAGTCTTAACTAACAGATTGTTCAATGCATGCAATCCAACATTCTCACTTTATTATTTAGGGAACATAAATGTCAAATACAAAAGAAAGTTTGTCAGTAGCATACTGAAAAATAGTGTTCAAAATTAATGAAGATTCTCCCCTTTGGAAAATTGGGATTGTCTAAAGATCTTGAGCTGATTATCTGTGGGCTACTTAAGGACCATATTGATGGTATAAAATGCTGCTAAATAACTATGGTTCAGGCATTTTTAAGCATTCACACAAATGAAAACACTTCTTTACCATAGCCCCATTAAAAGACATCACCTCCATTTTGCAAATGAACAAATAGAGGAATATAGAGGTTATAGGATTTGATCCTGTTAATCCAGATGCAAATAAATTCAGGGTTTTTGCAATTTAGGTATTCCATTTCCACAATCCAGGATCAAGGGCTAGAGAAAGCCTTGTAGATCTGGGAGTAAACATGTGCTAGCAGAGACACAAAAACTTAAAGCAACCTGCAGAGAATAAAGAAAAGCCTGCTAGGGGAAGAAGCATAGAATGATTGGATAGCCACCATAGATAAAAGGGAGAATTGAGAAAGTAGAAAGGAACTACTTCCTTGAAGACAGACTAAAACTGAGCACAGCACACATTAATCATTAATTTTTTTAGATTATTTTTTCATTTTAATTTTATTGTAAAGACACTGTACAGAGGGGTTACAGTTACATGAGTAAGTCAATGAGTACATTTCTTGTCGATCATTATTACCCCTTTCCTTCCTTGTCCCACTATCCCTTCCCTCCCCCACTCCCCCACTTCATCTTACCCCCTGATCCCCCTGACATTAGTTATTAATATCTTGGTGCCCAGTGTCATGAGTGTAATCCCACCCCTAGAATTTCTTCTGGCACATGTTCCTTTTCTCACACAGGGCATGTTATCTGCATCTTTTCTGGGTTAGTGCTTCATGGTAATATTTGGTCTATCTTGGAGTTCCCCAATGCTTCTACATCTCTCAGGTCATGACCACATCAGGAAGTCTCTGTAAGGGCCTGGACCTGCCAGAAATTTGGCCTGATTTCTTCAGTTTTCCTTTGAATTTACAGTGGATAGCACCTTAACTTCATAATGATAGCAACCTGAACAGCATCTTATAAATGCCATAAAATACTATGTTAAAAAATAAACAAACTAGGGACTACACTGACAACACTTTCTTGGGTACTAAAAGTGGTCAACCTGAAAATGCTCTCAAATAATTTTACATGAGGACTTTGGGCCTGTGATAGTAGAGAGTCTCATATTGATTTCTAGAAATTTTATATAAATTTCTAAAGCTTTTCTTTTCTTCCCAGTTGTGGGACTTTAACTCAGACCCTGGGTGCTATCCCTGAGCCTCTTTGTGTTCAAGGCTGGCACTGTACCACTTGAGCTACAGCACCACTTCCAATTTTGTGTGATTAATTAGTGATAAGAGTCTCATGAGGATTCTTCTGCTCAGGCTGGCTTTGAATTGCAATCCTCAGATCTCAGCCTCCTGAGTAGCTAGGATTATAGGCATGAGCCACTGGCACCTGGCTTCTAATGCTCTTTTTAAAAATTATTTAACATACGGCCTTCCATGACGCTCTAGGCCAAGAAGATAATGCAAATTCTTTATAATCATGTCACAATTTCCAACTGGGTTCTCAGCTACTCCCCTAGTTTATTTGTACCTTATCAGAATCACCAGAAATGTTCTGCTCAATGCCTTTTAGCCTATTTCTATCCTGCTTTGTAAAAAATCTTCCACATTCTTCATATCATGCAGTACAATCACACTTCCACATTTTCAGATGCTCAAAAGTGCATTTCTAAACATTAACTTGTTCGATTCCTATTTTCTAATTGTTTTGTGCAATACTTATTTTTCTACTCAGAACTTCCACGAGGTGGGTCCTCTACTACTTGAGATATATATCCTATCTTTTTGGTCTAGTTATTTTTGAGATAACATCTCATGTTTTGCCCAGCCAGCCTGGTCAGTGATACACCTACTTATGCTTTCTTCACTAACGGAAAATACAGGCATGAACCACCATGTCCTACTTTTTCTGTCAAAATGAGATCTCATAAAATTTTTGCCACAAGCTGGTTTAGAAGTAAAATCACCGTGATCTTAGTCTCCCATGGAGCTTTACTTAGCTGAGATGACTGATGTTCACCACTGTGCTCAGCTAGGATTTTTTTTTTTTCACCTGGGCTCCCATTGAGGTGCGATCCTCCAGGTGTCAGCCTTCTGAGTAGCTAGGATTACAGCTAGTGATACTACTCTCAAGGCCTGCAATTTGCCTTGCGCCCAGCATCCAGTGGCTTCTCTGGCTTATCAATCATAAAAGCTTTCTCTTTTCCTCCTAGACCTCCACTTTAAAATTCCCTTTGGTGAATGAATGGCAAACATCTAACACCGGATGCTGTTCAGGTCCCTATATTCTTTTGTCTTTCAGTCTGGATCTTTATTCCAGCTGATTCATTTACTGCCAGAGGCTGTGGAGTGAGAAGTGGCTTCTCTCATTCACAGTTTGGTGAGGCTTCTAACATACCAGTTTAGCCAAATAATTTACTGAGAATTGGATACATTTGTTTCCCAGGCTTATATTTGACGGGCAGTGGCCTTCAAATGGGAAATACTTGCCATAAGGAAGCTCACAAGCTTCATATGGATTCCTCCACTCTTCAGAGGAGGACTTTCATCAGCCTGGCTCATTGTAAGTTTTCTCTGAGGAACAAATATTTACATCTGTGAAATGGACTGTTCTGTGAGCCATACTACAGGATTAAAAATTGAGCGTCTGTGCCCACTTGATTTTTGATTTTTTGCTTTGGTGAGGTAGTATGGCACAGATGCTGGTCAGCCTAGACAGGGCCTCCTGATCTGTGTTTATTTAGCCCTTTGTGGTAATATTTTGTTTATAGGCAAAGCAAAGGAGAAAAAAACAATAAGAAACCGGTCTCCAAGCTGGGATGGTCGTGGAATAGAACAGATCCATACAGGGGTTTGCCTCCCTTCAAGCAAGGTTTTGTCTTTGTTTCTTTTAGAGATTTAGTGCCCACTATATTTTATATTCTCTAGCTACTATCTATATTTCTACTGGTGTCTTACTACACCAGCTTACTAATTTGTCAATTTTTCATTGCAGCCACATGCTTGAGATTTTATTTCTGGTTTCTGGAAAGATGAGGAAGTATGGCTGTTAGCTATCTGTCATCTTGACTCCCTTATTTTTGTTTAGATGTGTCTGTGCTGATCCTAGGGCTTGAACTCTAGGCCTGGGTGCAGTTTCTGAAACTTTGTCCTCAAAGCTAGCAGTCTACCACTTGAGCCACAGCTCCACATCCAGCTTTTTTGTGTGTGTGTGTGGCTAAATGGAGTTGAAAGTTTCAAATAAGGGAAACCATGGGACTTATTATGTTTCTTTGAGCCTGGCTTACTTCACTTAATATAATTTTTTCCAAGTCTTTCCATTTCCTAACAAATGGGACAATGTCTTCTTTCTGATGGAGGTATATATACCACATTTTCTTGATCCGTTCATCTACTGAGGGGCATCTGGGTTAGTTCCATATCTTCGCCATGGTAAATAATGTTAATATAGGTCTGAGACAAGCAGAAATGGTCATATAAGTTGATGTTAGGCAAA